TTGTAATGCATCAATGACGGCACCCTTGGGACATAACATTACTTTCAGATTACGAGTTATTTGGAGAAATAAATAAGAAAAATTCCGAGAAAGAAAGCAATCGCTCCGCTCCGATCTCAGCTAATTAAGTTCCGTTATACTCTTCGATGATACACTCGAATCCGGTTTCGTATATTAAGCTGAGCAGCGTAAATGGGTCCACGATGCATATTATCTACCAAAGTATCATGAGAGATTAAAGCTTTCCTCAGAATTCCAGGGTGTTCCCAAATCGTTGCAAGCGGCAAGAAAACATTCCATCTTGTAATACTTAAGTACCCAAATTAATTGGAGCAGTTCCTTAGCTACTCCTCATATGAAAAAAAAATAATTATCGGTGCATAATGCACCTCTTTCTTCTGGAAATAACACGAGAAGGTAAAATATATATATACTCACGCGATATTAAGCCTGCGAAGTCTCCTAGCGACGAAGGAGCTGAAGTAAGATACCCTTCGAGAACGAGGTGCGATTCGGGGAATATATTCTTCCACCAAGAGAGTCACAATTCCAAGCGCAGTCTGAATTCATGGAGAGAGTCGAACTAAAGAGATACGTGCGTCTGCCGACAGACTGTCGCCAGCCAATCAGAATGCGATCCCATCGCGCATGCGCGGCTCAAGCCTGGCGCGTGAACAAATCATCAGGTGCAATTCGTCAGACCCCCTTGAACACTCGACGCGATCGTTGTGGAGTGCACAGACATGTGCCGAACCTGGGGTCAGTTGCACTGCCTCGGTCAAGTCAGACTTAGGATGCACGCGAAGCATGCTCACAAAGGCAGACTTTGCACGTAAGTCTGACTCAATTGAGACAATTGCAACTGGGCCCTGCACTCGACACCTTTCATGGTTTAGCATTAGAGACCCGAGTGGTGGACTTAGGCCTGGTGTATCACTGACCACATATTCAGCTGGGGAAAATGTATAGAATTATATGTATTGTAACTATGTGCATATCATTTGAAAGGTTGTCCTTTGTTGAACCCAAGCTCAAAAATGCCATTAATAATATTCAGTTATGTGCACTGACCTAAAAGGCTAAATTGTTTAAATTATTTTCATTTATATTCTACTCTACCATAAGCAAGGAAAAATATGCAGCCAAACAACATTTTGAGAACTCTTACACAAACTCAAACACCTTTGTTCTCGTCAAACCTACTGTCATACGCGTACTAAGGCATAACTAACTGATTATGCTGTATTTTATAAACTTTTTAATTTTTCGAAGCGAATGCATGACAAAATATTTTGGCTATGGCTGTTCATTTTTGAAAAGGACTTAAAAATGTCTGAGTCTAGGAAAGGATATTAGATCCAGATGAGGAACTAGAACTCTATAGAACCCATGCTAAACAAATATAACTTCTCATTAATCTTATACCTGATACTACGGGAGTTACAACTTTTTTTCCAAGTTTGATCAACTTCCCTTTTCCCGAAAACCACATTTCACCAATGGTGAAATGTGGTTCCTCCGACTTTGGAGGAGGTGACCTCGGCTCGCATCGAGGATATTTCCATCTCCGAGGAGACGATCGTGAATATGATAGGGAAGTTGAAGGTGGGCAAGGCGACCGGCCCCGATGGGATTCCTGCGAGAGTCATTAAGGAAACCGCGAGAGAAATATCGGTTCCGCTAAGAATTATATTCGAAAGCAGCTTTTCGCGCGGGGAAGTATCTAAGGACTGGAGACTAGCAAACGTCGTACCGATCTTTAAGAAGGGCGAAAAGAGTCATCCAGGAAATTACAGGCCGGTAAGTCTCACGAGTATCCCAGGGAAGATCATGGAGAGCATACTAAGGGACCATCTCTTGGATTTCCTCGAAAGAAACGCGCTCATTCGGAACTCTCAACGTGGCTTTAGGAGGCGTCGAAATTGTCTCACCAATTTGCTCGAATTCTACGACTGGGCGACGGAAGAGAGGGAT